TATCTCATCAACCATACTGGAGTTCGGACCTTCTCATTTAATCCTTTTACATCCTCACACTGGATAACCACATGCAACTAGAACATGGCGCAGTCGTTTCACGGACCATTTAAGTTTCCTCGGGAAAGGGAAGGAAGGCAAAATAGGGTGAGTGTGAGTGATTGAAATATCACGAATCGGAGCGAATGACCGACTCTTGTGTGAGAAGGGCAATCCTAATCTCTGTGAATTTCTCTGTTGTGTTACATGTGTTTGGCGGCGAGGAGTGCTGTAAAGAAGCCCCGTTAGTGGACCCCTGTGTGAACTGTGTGCCTGCATTAAATCTAATCAGTGCGTAAAGTAGAGACAGTGAACCAGAAATGACAGTGCTTGAGTGCTTGACATGAAATTGTGTGCAACTGCATCTCATATGTAACGACAATCAGCTCCAGGCTGCAGTTACGAGGGCTCTTTTTCCCTAGAACCTGTTGGTTCTGTTATTGAGATATTCTATCTGAAACGTGACGGCCAGAAACATGTTAGTGTTACTGGAATGATGAGTTGCACAGGAACACTCTGAAGTGATCCGCTGCAGTATACTCTCATTGGGTCATAATGTTTTATCAGATAAATCGAAATGTTTGGAAACAAACTTTTGCTCCTGTCAAGTTGCACATGTCTGAAGTGAGTCCATCACAATGCCAAAACAAGTCATTTTGTCGACTGAATGCTGAAGCATGCTCGTACCATTGTTCTATTGTTGAAAAACAATAAAAAGAGACACAATACAAATTAAGTGTGTTCATTGTGAGAGTCCCCTTGTGTTGGGTTCCACCTTCAAAAAAGAAAGTCACCGTAAAACTGGTGAGCTTAGTCACAAAAAAGCTATCCCACTGGTGAAAGCATGTGACCTTATGTCATCGTAAAGATTGACATGAAGGACGCAGTAGATAACATCTACCTTGTTCTGAATTGTTCACAAAGTGTCACAATGACATACTAGAGCTTGGTGATCTTTGTAATTAAAAGGACACCTTGGTCTGGGACAGTCAGTGTTTAAACACTCTAATTGAACGTTGAGTGTCATACAAAGACAGCCTCGGTCCTGGTGATTTTAGGAATCAAGTACTTGTCACCCTGTGCTGGGAAGTCTAGTGTGTCACCACTCTAATTGAATAGAAAATGAACAAAGGCTTTTTACTCAGTATGCAGTGCATACCTGAAAGAGACTTAAGTGTCAAAGTGATACCTTTACTACCATACACTGGTAATACTGCTCATTACTTGTAATGAAACGTTCCAGGTTGTTTGGCAAACTGTGGGAACCTTTATCTGACATTGCATGTCAGTGGGGTTGACTGTAAAATCTCTCTCACGTTGAGTGGAGTGGAGACAGGGAAATGAAAGCCTTTGTTAGCCGTTACTGGGCAGGTACTGAGTGACATTAGTTGACCAACAGAAAATGTAAACAGAACTTGCTATTCGTCCTATTGAGACGACACAGCAAAACATTCTGCACACTATTGCTTATAGTGTAAGGGACCGTCTCGAGTTCTTTGGGTACATGATAGGAAAAGTTATTTTCCTTCTCGTGACTCTTGCCCTTGACAATTAAGGAAGGGAAATAAAAGTAGTTTGTTTACCAAGTTGCTAACTTGAACATCAACCCCTCGCACAAAGCAGGAGCTGGTACAGAAATTCACAGAATAAATGTGACTTAAGGGAAAAGGAATGTAGCTCAAGGCAAGACTAGCCTGATCACCTAGTTTCTTCGCCTGCTCACAGACTTCCCATTGTCAAGTCCCAACTTGAAAAAGACTGTAAACCTATCTTTATTTAAGTGTTGCATACTTGGAAAGCAGTCATGAGTGTTGACAAAGTCCACCAGCATGATGGGGCCTCCAGAGTTGGCACTACTCCGGTGTATGGTGACACCAAAGTTCCATAACAGAAAAGTTTAATTTGGACAATACTCCATAACAAACAATTGTTTGTAACTGGAAACGGAAACAAAACTGAATTCATACTTGTGATAGTCTGCTCTCACAGAGAGGTCTCGACCATTCTCTGAAAGCACAGTCTAATCTGATAATGCTCCGTCTAACCTTGTCAAACTGGACAGTTGAATGAAAGCTAGTTCAGCTCCGACTGTAATCTGACCTGGATTCATTGAGTATCCATGAGAGGTCAGGCCAGCAAAGGAAAAGAAACAGGAAAGTTCAGACAAAAACAAACTGCATACAAATGTAGAACGCATGTAGAAAACTTCTTACTAATGCTTAGAACAAAAAAGAATTCAGCCTTTTGTCCAAACAATCTTGGGGAAGCACTATTGGGTATGAACAGAGGTGAGACTCTAATAAACCCATAGTGACAGTTCGAAACTCGAAGCTGTTCAGTTTGTCAGCCCTATAGGGATGACATTTATCACCTGGTGATACAGGTTCACTCTTTTTATCCCACTGGGTTTTTGAGTTTGCAATCCCATTACTTATCCTAAATGTGAAAAGTGGAAAAAAGGCATTCAAGTAAGTTGCAGATTTTATCCACCCGACACAAAGGGTGAAATGCCCAAACAGAGCAGTGCTCTGTGGGTTGGTTCTTGTTTCAAAAAAGAAAACAAATATGAAGTTCCACAAATCTCTGACAACATATCAAGCTGTGCACTAGTTCCCCACTAAAGTAAGCCTGAAGGTAGTTATGTTTGCCAGAGATAGTGCAGGACTTCTCACTAGTCACTGCACCAAACTGAGTGAGTCACTCCCTCAGAGAGATAAAAGAAAACTTCTCTAAAAAGTTGTTTCTCATTACTGATTTTGACCATCTCTATTACACAATACTTAGTGTAATGAGGGCAAACAAATGCATCACTTGTGTAAGAGTAATGTTCTATAAATTAGAAAAGTATCATTCCACCTAGATTGTGTTATGACACGGAAAATTAAAATAATTCTCCACAATGTCACAACTGTACTGGGTGAAAGACAAATACTGACAAAAGCGGTGCCCTCTTCGTAACCAAACTGCTTGTGTGAGCTGATACACAAAAAGGTTTAACCATTACACCAAACCAAAGTTTGCTTATTATTGTAAAAAATAAATAATGGCATACACAGTTTGGAAAGCAATTTGTCACAGACTCGAATGGCCTAGAGGTTACTTGCTGGACCCAACAGTGGCTTCATGCAATACCAGCACTCATGTCAAAAGCAATAACATTACTTTACACGGGCACACAAAAGTTAGTGTGTTGCGTGTGCTGCGAAACCTGTCACATCAAGCCATCCGGGAGTCACAACAGTTATAGACTGATGTGGAAAACATTCATTGAACAATGAGAATAACAAGGTGAACAAATTATTCCCATCGTGACGCTCATCACAATTGAATACTCCTAAGGATCGGCAAACATGTCACTTCCAAAGTGGGCGTTACTTCTTTGCAAAATCTATGAAGTAATTGGTCGATGTCAGGTTGACCAAACAATGCAGCACAAACATCAAGTGTTCAGGGGTTCCTTGGTGACTCTGCACTTTGATAATGAGTTAACTTTGCCACAAAGTTGGACTTCATTGCACAAATTAGTTACTCCATTATTAAAAGGAGGGTGATGAAGGTGAATCTAAAAAAGAAAAAGGAAAGAAAGGGGAAGTAAAGGAATCAGTCATGGGACTGGATGATGTCATTTTGAGCTTTATGTAACAAAAGTCATTTGACATCAAGTGCAGAAATGTATATCTCTGGCACAAGAAAACAACCACCTGTGTCGCTGACGAAGTTAGGGCATTAGGCTAAGACACAGTTAAAGTAGGTGTAGTGGGTTATGACCCAAAGCAAAGTGAAACTGTAGTGTCAAGCACACCACATGTACTCTGCTGTTCACCGAAAACCAACTGATGTAAAAACATATCAGAATCGTGTAAAGGTTCAGCATAACCCCAAAGTTCCTATCACTTCTTGGATAGATCACCAGACCACCAGATAACTATTGTCCGTCAGTCCCACTAATAACTTTCCAGTTAACAGTGAGGTCTCAAAGACTAGTAAACAAACTGACGAATTGTTGGAGCTGTATTATATTGAATAGTACAACAAAAACTTAGACAACCATTGCTAACACAGGCTTTGTCTGACTAGCAGAAAAACTGAATTGTTTACCAGTTGTTTGCAGTTGCAATTTCTCATGTCAACAGGCTGTTAGTTAAGTCAGTGCAGCCAACTTGTTAAGAGACAGATACTTGTCTCCCAAAAGGGGGGAGATGTTCTAGACGTGAGTTGGCATCACTGCCGTCGTCTGCATTGTCTACGTAAAGCTTACGCTACCTGCCGTAGGATAGCGCCACCAGCGCCTATGCGAACTGACCTCTGACGTACTGAACCAATAAAGACTCTCTTATCTCATCAACCATACTGGAGTTCGGACCTTCTCATTTAATCCTTTTACATCCTCACACTGGATAACCACATGCAACTAGAACAACGGAGAAGTCGTCGTTGGGGTTGTTGGACACGGTGAAGCCGCTGCCGAAGGCGAGGTTCCCGGTGCCCGCGCTGGCCGGGGTCGCAATCACCACGGTGGCGCACTCGTGCCACCAGCACAGGCCCACGTACAGCGAGGAGGTGTACCTGGAGGAGGCCACGCGCATCTTCAGGGTCACCTGGTCACCGGCAGACAGCGTCGGTCCCCACAGCCACTCTTTCCTCCCTGTGAACAAAAATCAGGTGTATACTAAGAAGTTATCACAAGTAGTGTTTTATTCTGTAATTTCTATATTCCTTAATTTTACAAAAAGGCTTAACAAATCCTTTAACAACCCCCCAACGATACTTTGCACATTACATAGGGTCTAACTGACGTTGCATAAATTGCGTGGTGTGCAGATTTTAGATGTTTCGCAAACTTCTAATTTGTGCACACTTGGACAAACGAACTTTAATGCCGTCAGTGAGAACCAGATGGTAGCTGCTATACGTTTCGCAAAAGTCGAAAGTTTGCACATCAATTGATACATAAGCTACTTAGACAACACGATGTGTCTAATTTTTGCACACATGAACTCATACATAAATTTACGAACAAAATTAAACACTAAAACAAGAATCGCCGTTGTCTGTGCGTAATGTACTTTTGGGAGCTTACCAGCACCAAGATTTATGAGGGCATAGCCCACCCCCGTGGACTGGACGAAGAGCTGAGTCTCATCTGGACGGCACTGCACTGTCAGGTCGCGGTATTTCTTTTGGCAAGGGGTGTCTGCCAGGGTGACCGTCATCGCCTGGTTGTTGTTGGCCACGTACATGACCATGTAGTCGTTATCAGAGCCTTCAACGAGCCATAAGGGCAGCTTCCGGGGGTCTGGATCCTGTGAAGGGAACCGCGGATTGATCAGAGAGCTGTCATAGCTGCCTCTGACCACCAGTGGAACATGTTATGGATACTGCAATGTTCCATGTCCCACCATGCGAAGCGTGTCACCTACAAACACTTGAAAGTGCGTGCCAAGTATCACACACATTGCAAGTAAGTGTGTGACCTTTCTATTTTCAAGATGTCGCGCCCTTTTATCCCCGAGCGCAGACCAGCGGGAGGGTCGCACCTTTTGCACGAGTCTCGAGGAGCCGTTCGAGAGCAGGTTGTTGTGCTCGATGAGGATGGCGTCCGCCTTGCCCGCGTGGCCGTTGTAGAAGCCGTTTATCCTGAGGACGCAGCACGAGGACCGGCCGCACAGCCCGACGGACACCGCGGGCCCCTCCGTCGGCCCCCGTCCGTCGAGCAACTTGGTGCCGCCATTGATGAGGTAGCGCTCGCCGGACGGCAGGTGGATGCCCAGCAGGGATGGGAAAAATTTAACTTAACTAGTTTCTGTAACTGTAACTAGTTACAATTTGGAGCAACTGAAACTGGAACTAGTTTCATTTTTAAACTAAATAACTGTAGCTGTAACTAGTTACATTTTTTTCTGTAACTGTAACTAATATCAGTTACAGTTATTTTTGCCCAGTAGAACTTTTAAAAAGTATGAGATTTCTTTCCTGTTTATCCACATTCTGTTGCAATGTGCTATCTGGAGTCTGCGGCTAGCGCGGCATTCAGAGGAATGAAGGAAAGGGGGCTGGAAAGACGGTATTGTTTCGGCTCATCTGGGGTCTGTGCAGGCCTGTGCAAGCAAGGTGGCGAGGTCGAGGAGGAAGACCCTTTTATTTACTG